TGTACTACAAGGTTCCATATCACAAAGGGAAAGCTGGAATTGAGTTTGGGGGTAATTGCCCAAAACGTTTAGGAAAAAGGGCCAAAAATAAGCATTTTTCTAGTTTCCAGACAATAAGTTGTGTTCAAGTGTATGGATCTCTCTGAAATTGTACTGCAAGGTACCATACCACAAAGGGAAGGCTGGGATTGAGTTTGGGGGTGATGAATCATAAGGGGGTTCAAAAAATTTGGGGGGGGGGGGGGGTGGTTTCTTTTTTTTTCTTTTAAAATTTTCCATTTTAAGTTGGTTATTTCTGTTTTATATTTAAAAGCAAATAATAATGATATGGTAGGAGATACACACCAAACAGGATGTGTAAATTATTATATAATAAGTATTGTGCAATAGCAAGAAATTTTCAATTGCACAGTATTGCACAATAGCAAGAAATCTTCAATTGCACAGTATTGCGCAATAGCAAGAAATCTTCAATTGCACAGTATTGTGCAATAGCAAGAAATATCCAATAGCACAATATTGCGCAATAGCAAGAAATTGTCAAATGTACAGTATTGCGCAATAGCAAGAAATATTCAATTGCACAGTATTGTGCAAAAGAAGATACTTCGTATAAATTGCTTATTTCTTGACCAATTTCAATGGGGTTTTATTCTTGAATTCTTGCGGTTCTTTAATATGCTGATTCTAACCGTGTATTAAGTTTTTTGATTTTGGGCCCCGTTTTTAAATTGGTCCACATTGAGGTCCAAAGGGTCCAAAATTAAACTTTGTTTGATTTCATCAAAAATTTAATTATTGGGGTTCTTTGATATGCCAAATCTAACCGTGTATTTAGATTCTTAATTTTTGGTTCCGTTTTGAAATTGGTCTACATTAAGGTTTAAAGGGTCCAAAATTTAACTTAGTTTGATTTAACAAAAATTGAATTCTTAGGGTTCTTTGATATGCTGAATCTAAACATGTATTTAGATTTTTGATTATGGGCCCAGTTTTCAAGTTGGTCCAAATCGGGGTCCAAAATTAAACTTTGTTTGATTTCAACAAAAATTGAATATATGGGGTTCTTTGATATGCTGAATCTAACCATGTATTTTGATTTTTGGGCCCCGTTATCAACTTTGTCAACATTGAGGTCAAAAGGGTCCAAAATTAAAACTTGTTTGATTTCATCAAAAATTGAATTCTTGGGGTTCTTTGATATGCTGAATCTAACCATGTATTTAGATTTTGGATATTGGACCATAATAGGTGAATGTCCAATTTAAAATTTTTAAGTTCTTAGACCACATTCATTCTGTGTCAGAAACCTATGCTGTGTCAAATATTTAATCACGATCCAAATGCAAAGCTGTATCAAGCTTGAATGTTGTGTCCATACTTGCCCCAACTGTTCAGGGTTCGACCTCTGCGGTCGTATCAAGCTGCGCCCTGCGGAGCATTTTATTTTTCTAGGAGTTAAGCCCCTTTGAACTTATTGGCCTCAATATACTACTGCAACAGTTTGTCATTGCAACTACTCTGAAACCACACAACAGAATTTCATGAAACTGTAGTTAATGAGGACATAATATGTAAATGTGCATATCCACAAGAAATTTTTTTATCAGTTGACTTTTGTAGAGTTATGAGTCTTTGAACTTAGGAATCTGGTGAGATTTTGTTTATCTAGTGACAATGTAGGGGTGTGGGGTATGTGAGCGTGCTCACACAGGTTCTTTAATTTTGAAGGTCATATGTCACTCAACCCTTTGCAAAAATCACCATGGCTTTATCATGTACCAGTATGAAGTTATATTAGATTTACCTTAGATTTTAACATTTTAGGGGCAATAACTATAAGATATCATCAGATAGCTTTGGACCAAATATACCAATTCTTCCTCTCAACAACCCAAACATTTTGCATCAGTTCTTTTGTATCTAGCTTTCATAGTTTGAGAGGAGATGCACACACTCTCAAAGGGAAAAATTTAGAATATTACCTTGACCTCAATTTCCAAGTTATGACTCAAGGATCTCAAATTAAAAGACCTTAGGTCATTATGGCTAACGGTTTATGAGTAACACTGACATACTGAGATGCACACACAAGATAAACAATGAATGGGGAGATAACTCTTACACAGAGAATTGTTCGGCTTAGCAGGGTGAAATTTAAAAGCGCATACACTACAATAAAATATAAGAAATATTGCGAAACAAAAATTATAAGCAAGAACAAAATTGGCGAAAGAAAAAAAAAGAATAATAATTAAAAACCAATTGTTCAATTGAAGGTCTTTCCACCCGAAACGATATCTTTTGATACAAAAATATTAAAATCCAGTTTAAAATGTCATTTCCAGTGTCAAATGGTAGCTAATTGTATGCTGATTTAAAAAATATATGGTTTCTATGCACTTTTGTTTGAAATAAGGAATATAATTTGTTACTTTCAGTCTGAAAAATGTCACTTTGGTATTATTTGATAGTTTACTTGACACTGATTCCAGAAATATCTGGTTCTATATACTTTTACATTAAATAAGTACAAAAAATAGCTACTTCCGGTTTACGTGGTTGGAATTTTCAAGGTCATATGCCTTGCAACCTAATACAAAAAGTCCCATGGCTTTATCGTATATAAATATGAAGTTAAAGCAAAGATCAAAATCTAGAACGTCAAATTCAACTTTGACCTTGACCCTCAATTTCAAGGTTATTAACCAAGGACATCAAATCAAAAGACCCTAGGTCTTTATTATATTTGGTTAATGAGTTATATCACCATACGCGTAGTTTTAAATATCATAGGGGAGAAAACTCCCATTTAATGTCAGCTTACCCTTTCAACCAAAATGTATGTGTTACGACATGTCGCAACTAACAATTTAATAAAAATATGTTGTCTATATCTTATACGGTTTTTTAAAAAAAGTGAAAATAGCCAAATCAAAATTTGGGTATGACCTTGACCTTTTCTTTCTTTTTTTACCAAGGACCTCAAATCAAAAGACCCTAGGTCTCTATCACTAATGGTTTACCAGTTAGAAATGCATATCACTTATATCAAATGCATAAGGGGGAATAACTCTCATATGGAGTCTCCAGATAGCTTTGGTCAAAATTATTCTCAACATCCTGAAGATATAACGAGCAATTTGGTATAATAGATTTGACGTAATCTTTTATGGTTGCGAAGGAGTAGTGGACACAAGAAAAACAGTGTTGGGGGAGATAAGTCTCACAATTAAAAGTGTTCGGTTCAACAGGGTCAGTTTTAAAAGCATATAAACTGTTCAATATCATATTTCAAAAATCTTAGCAACACATTGTGAAATAATAATACTGCGCATGAAAAAAAATTAGAGGGAGAAAAAAAAAATTATCAGAACACGGAAAAGTGGAAAGACCTTATAATCAGAACAAATACAATAGGTCTTTCCACAGAAAAGCGGAAAGACCTAAATATGTATTAAAATGCAAGCAGGGTCTATTTTACTTGTTAAATCAGTGTTATAATCATCTGTTAATATTCAATAATATAGGTTCATTTAACTTACAATTAAAATTAATTTGCTGGAAACAATAAACAAATATGCAATCTAACCTGGGCATTTTTTTTTTCTCAATGTAAAATCATCACCAATGTAGATAAAAATAAGTTATTTAATTTTTGTTGTTAGAAAAGTGCATTTACAATTAAGTCAGTTTTAAAAGGTCTAAAGAGCTTATGTTTTACTGAATTGTATGCTTTTTTACCGACTTTAAATCAATTTGATTTGAATGCCTCTTTCTGGAAATTATTAAGTCAAACTTCAGTAAGAAATATACTACACCTTCATTTGAAGATTTCTATTTCCAATCATGTCAAAATCATTTAAAAGAAAAAAAGAAGATATTAAAAATCAATACCCCTTCTAAAAATATCAAAAGAAATTAGAATTTGTATCAACCATGTCAACATTGAGAAATTCTCCATCTTTGGGCAATTGAATACAATTTCTTTAGTAGTATCATGAAAATGAAATGAAACTCATCTTCAGTTTCATATAATTTTTTATCAAATATCAATATTATAAATAATCCTAAGATGAGTTAGAAAAATTGCATACCAATGGTTAAAGATAGAAATATTTCTGAAAGCATTTGTAAGTATTGTTTCCATGGAGATTATATAGCCCCCACCCCCTCATCATGGTTCATTGACTGAAATTTTTACATAGTTTACAAGTTAATGTTTGTGTTTAGGTTTGTTTAAAGGAAATGACTTATAATAAGTCAATGGTATTTGGTATGCAGTTGTATTAGCATTGGCACATCTCATTTCCATGGAGATTGTTTAGCCATGTTCTTTCAGTCATGGTTCATCGACTTTGAATATTTGCAAAACTTACATGTTAAAGTATTGCTATTTTAATTTCAGCATTTGCATTATCAAAATTACAAAAAGGCGAGACATATCACTGTGATAACAGTTTATTATATACGTTTTTTAATGCCATATTTTTTTATGAATTTCATATAGCAAAACAAGAATTTTTTGTCATATCTATTTAAGAATAAAGTAGGATGTTGTTATTGAAGTGTTCTGTATTGTTGATAGTGATGTTTGACCAGCAACTCTGAGGATGCCTAGGCTTAATGATATGTAATGTATTAACAAATGGATAAATAGAAGGCATGTGCATGCTTTGTTAAAAGAAAACATCAATACATGAACTGGTTGACAATGTCATTAGGTTAAAGTTTGAGTGAAAGTTTGTAAAGGTTCCTTTACAAACATGTATTACAGGCATACGTAGTATTAGTACATTTAGGTCACTAATGATATCTGTAATCCCTTAAATGTGTTGTTGCCCTAACCGTATTCGAGTCAAATCCCCTCCAGCCAAGAGTACACCATATATTTTGGAATGTGCATAGTTGATATGAAATAGGCCACATGTGTTTAAAAGGAGTATATTATATTACTGTATGATATATTTCTGTATTAAAAAAACTTTCCTTTGTTTCAGGTTGTTGACATGGCAACAGTGGTGGCTGTTATCTCCATATTGGAGAAATATCCTATGTCTAGAGAAGCACTGGAGGTAAGAATCGTCAGTTTACAAAATGTATACACACATTTCATGTCCTCGTATTATAAATGCACATAAACTGTACGGTATTATATAGATTGATTGATTGGCTAATGTCCCAACTGCAGAAATTAAATATTGAATTATAACAAGTCTACATAGAGCTAGTAGCTACACCGACATGACTAACCAATATTATATTGAGCTAATTTACAGTTTATTTAAGACTTGACACAACATCTCTGGCACAGCATTCTGACTGAGCTGACCCTTACTTGCTCTTACACTAGATCACCAAGGCATAATATGTATTGTACAAAAAATGTGTATATAAATTAAACCTAAATTCATTTGAAATGGTAAAAAAGTGAAAATCTGCCTACCTGATCAAATGCTTGTGACCTTAAATCTTGGACCTGAATAATACAACTGAACCTAAATAAAAACCCAATGGAAATACACTATACATAATTTAAGTCTGAACAACAAAACATGAGTGAGAAAGGTTCATATACTGCAGACCAAATCAAAATTATAATTTCTGAAAACCTTTGAACACAAGAACTAGGAACATTTAGATCTCTTACAATGAGAGGGGAAAAAAAGTTGTTGACAACTTCATTATTCATTTATAGTATAGACATGAATTTCTTCAGTTTAAATGTGATTTAAATTATTCCACATCAAAGAATTTTCAAAATGTGCTTGATTTATTTTCACATTAATTAAGAGAAGAGGTGACCTTTCAGCAAGTCCATGTTTCTCTGTTAAGACAATATTTTTTTCTATTTCAGCAAACACGAATTGGGAGATATGTAAATGAATTGAGAAAGAAAACAAAAAATGAACAATTAGCTAAAAGAGCTAAAAAGTTAGTGAAAAATTGGCAACATTTGATTAATTCTGACAATCCCATTGTAAATGGGGATAATGGTGAACGCCTTGTTCATCCAAATGTTGCTAATTTACAAAGTCCTTCATTGGGATCATTATCACCAGCCTATGTAAAGTCTAGTCAGGTTAAAAGACTGCCAGGAAGCAAACCAAACACACCATCACTTCCTTCATCCAAGCCAAATACACCAACATTGCAACAAAAAGTCAAACCAAATACTCCAGCCATTAAGAGCAAACCAAACACTCCTAGTATGCCTCAATATTTTAAACAAACTCTCTCTCCAAGTTTGAGATCCACACCAACATCGTCACCAAGATTACATAGTACACCAAAGTTTGCAATTTCTCCAAACATGACATTTTCAAATGATTCAAGATCGCCAGCAGTTTCCCCTGTGTCTTCTTGCAGTAGGCCATCAACTCCAGTAGATACTCCTCTCCGCCCACCAAGTTCATCTCGAACTGAAAACTCATGTAGATTGACTAGAAATATGTCTCAAGAAAGTTTATCAAGTGCTTGTAGTGAAAAACTTCCACATCGTTCTAAACATTCCCCAGAACTGAATGGAAAAGCAAAAAACAGAAATATTGATGAAAAATTGTCTAAAACAAATATTGCAAACAGAAAACGTGCACGAAAGGAATATTCAGATGAGTCTCAGAACAAAACAGCAAAAATTGACAATTGTGTAGATTATTCAAAAATGAATGGTGCTGTAAAATCGAGTTCAAATAGCAATACGCAAAAAACAAATGGCTCATTATCACGAAGTCCATCTGAAGCTAGTTTAAATAAAAGTTTTCCTTCGAGGAAAAATGTAAGTTTGTCTGTAAATACTGACTTTTCAATGGACAAGACTAACAAAACTCCAAAAGTGAAAACAACTGCACAAATAATTGCTGAACTTCAAGCCAGAAGTGGGAGTGCATCTGTTGGCAGTGATATAATAAAACAAATAGAAACTAATCAAATTGTGAAGGAAAGTGACGTCCCAGAATCCGCACTGCCACCTGGTGCAAGACCAAAACGTAATAAAAAGAGGATGTTAGAACCCTCTTTACTTGATATTTCCACACCAAGTAGATCACATGCAAATTTAAGTCAGACAAAGTCAGATCTTGTCCAAAAATTTCTACAAACATCTGTAACTCCAAGTTCAGCAGTGGATATGACTCCTTTTAGATGTGATGACCATAGTGAATCTCTGGAAAGTGGAAAAGGTGAATCTAGTGTTGATGTTATTGATAGTTCAGGTGGAGATATTGTGTATCGCTCTGATGAAGTTCGATCACATGAACAAACTGATCAAGACTCTAAAGGCATTAAACTTCCTTCATTAGAAGAAATTCAAAGTAATCTCCCACCGATTGATTATGATAATGTGTTACATGTTGACAGTGATTATGATATTCCAGATCGAGGCATTGTTTCTGAAGACATAATTGATAAACTGCATAATGAACAATGGACTAGTGTGAATGGAAATCTTGATTCAAATGGCGAGTGGTATGACTGGACACAATTATTTACAAATTTATCATATTCAGATGAACCATTACATATTTTGCCATATGTTCTCTTAGATGATTGAAATCCCAGGATGGGCAAATCCCAAAAGAGGAATCATTTAGTTCAAAACAATTAGTCATTTTTCAGTGCTTTCATATGCAGTTGTTCTAGATTTAATTTTATGTATGTATTTTTGTGTAATTACGTACAAGAAAAAGTTTTGTCTGATTTATAAAATAAATCACTGTGGTTCTTACATATTATATAAAATATTTGTGATAACTAATTTATGTATATTGTGTATTTAATTGCCATTTATATCATTTCTTTTAAGATCACTACTATGCTCAAATCGCAAATTCCTGGTTATTCAAGAAGCGAGTTCCTCATTAAGTATTGTTGGTCTGCAATGCAACACTATCCAATTTGTTTTAAACTTAAATGGATAATGTTTATCTAAGAAGCTTAAACTTAGATGGATCATGTTTATCTAAGAAGCCAGTAGAAAATCTATCAATTATGAAAGTTATCAATAAAACCATAGCATACAATGCACTGTGGTTTCTACTTAAATATTTAGGGAAACACTGAAGGATAAAGAATTAAGAAAATAGACGAAACATCAAGGGCGCAGCTGCTGAATGAAGTTTTCTTTTGTTGATTTAAAATGTCATGTACAGATTGAAGATTTATATTTTTAGACCAATGGATGAAAGGTCAAGGGCAAAGCTGCTGAAAAAATTAAAACCTAGACTGAAAATGTAGAGCTTTAAGGTGCAATTTGTTGTTTCTGGGTGATAACTTGAGGAACACTTGTTGCATTTTTATAAAACTTCTACAACTGGTTGATGCTATAAGTGAGTCTCTAGATTTTATCAATCCCTAAAAAACACATTCTCAGAGCTCTGTATAAAGTATGAAGTTCGTCAAAGTCTTCTACATGTTTATAATTTTTAACAGGATTTTTGAAGGAAAAATCGGTTATTGATTTGGGGATGTACGGTGGGTGGGTGGCTGCCAAACAGTGTCTGTTCATTAACATGAAAATGCTTTGACGAAATCTTTTCAAATTTAGATACGTTGTTTCCTGTGACTAAATGAAGGTCAAGTTTCTCGTTGTTGAGTTGTAGACCTCCAGCAGTGAAAAGTGATACTTATTATAGGATTTATTTTTATTTTGAGTTATTTCCCTTTGAACAGAATTGGTGTAATTTATAAGTATATGGATAGGTAGTCTATCAATGATTGTATCTATTCAATTGATTTTAGTCAGGAGTTGTCAAAAATTTCTTTATAACTATTATTTTTAAGTCGTGTGTGTTTTGAAGGTAGATGTCTCAGTTGTTATGTGGTATTTTATTTTTGTTGTGTGTGTTTAATTTTTACTTGATCCTGTTTGGGGGTCCAGATTTGCAAATATCATTTTTATGCAGGAAAATACGACTTGCTGTCACTCTGACAGCCTCTTGTTGGTTTTTGTCTTGCATTCTTCGAAAGTCTCATAATGAGACTTATTACCATCTAGCGAAGGCGTAAGCGATTTGTATAGAGCTTTATATTTCAAAATATAGAAGACCTAGATGCTTCATTCCTAGTATGCAGATGCCTTTTGTAAGGAAGTTTGTCTACTATGTATGTCCATTGTTGTTGACTATTTTCATGGTTCAGCAACTGCTTGAAAAGAGTTTTTATACGACCGCAAAAAAATTTTTGTGGTCGTATATTGGTATGACGTTGGCGTCGTCCGGCGTCGTCCGAAGACACATTGGTTTTCGCACTCTAACTTTAGTTTAAGTGAATGGATCTCTATGAAATTTTACCACAAGGTTCAATACCACAAAAGGAAGGTTGGGATTGATTTTGGGGGTTATGGTACCAACAGTAAAGGAATTGGGGGCCAAAAAGGGGCCAAAAATAAGCATTTTTGTAACTTCCAGACATAACTTGTGTGTTAGTGTATGGATCTCTCTGACATTGTACCACAAGGTTCCATATCACAAAAGGAATGCTGGGATTGATTTTGGGGGGTAATTGCCTCAAAATTTTAGGAATTAGGGGCCAAAAAAGGGGCAAAAAACAAGCATTTTTCTAGTTTCATGACAATAACTTGTGTTTAAGTGTATGGATCTTTCTGAAATTGTACTACAAGGTTCCATATCACAAAGGGAAAGCTGGGTTTGAGTTTGGGGGTAATTTCCCTACACATTTAGGAATTGGGGCCAAAAAGGGGCCAAAAAACACATTTTTCTAGTTTCCAGACAATAACTTGTGTTCAAGTGTATGGATCTCTCTGAAATTGTACTGCAAGGTACCATACCACAAAGGGAAGGCTGGGATTGAGTTTGGGGGTGATGAATCATAAGGGGGTTCAAAAAATTGGGGGGGGGGGGGGATTTCTTTTTTTTTCCTTTTTTTTCTTTTTTTCCTTTTTTTTTTCTTTTAAAATTTTCCATTTTAAGTTGGTTATTTCTGATTTATATTTAAATGCAAATAATAATGATATGGTAGGAGATACACACCAAACAGGATGTGTAAATTATTATATAATAAGTATTGTGCAATAGCAAGAAATTTTCAATTGCACAGTATTGCACAATAGCAAGAAATCTTCAATTGCACAGTATTGCGCAATAGCAAGAAATATCCAATAGCACAATATTGCGCAATAGCAAGAAATTGTCAATTGTACAGTATTGCGCAATAGCAAGAAATATTTAATTGCACAGTATTGTGCAAAAGAAGATACTTCTTATAAATTGCTTATTTCTTGACCAATTTCAATGGGGTTTTATTCTTGAATTCTTGGGGTTCTTTAATATGCCGAATCTAACCATGTATTTAGTTTTTGGATTTTGGGCCCCGTTTTTAAATTGGTCCACATTGAGGTCTAAAGGGTCAAAAATTAAACTTTGTTTGATTTCATCAAAAATTGAATTATTGGGGTTCTTTGATATGCCGAATCTAACCGTGTATTTAGATTCTTAATTTTTGGTTCCGTTTTCAAATTGGTCTACATTAAGGTCCAAAGGGTCAAAATTAAACTCAGTTTGATTTTGACAATAATTGAATTTTTAGGGTTCTTTGATATGCTGAATCTAAACATGTATTTAGATTTTTGATTATGGGCCCAGTTTTCAAGTTGGTCCAAATCGGGGTCCAAAATTAAACTTTGTTTGATTTCAACAAAAATTGAATATATGGGGTTCTTTGATATGCTGAATCTAACCATGTATTTAGATTTTTGATTTTTGGGCCCCGTTATCAACTTTGTCCACATTGAGGTCAAAAGGGTCCAAAATTAAACTTTGTTTGATTTCATCAAAAATTGAATTCTTAGGGTTCTTTGATATGCTGAATCTAACCATGTATTTAGATTTTGGATATTGGACCATAACAGGTGAATGTCCAATTTAAAATTTTTAAGTTCTTAGACCACATTCATTCTGTGTCAGAAACCTATGCTGTGTCAAATATTTAATCACAATCCAAATTCAGAGCTCTCTGCGGTCGTATCAAGCTGCGCCCTGCGGAGCATTTTATAAGTTTTTGGCCTTGAAATGTTTATTTTTAACTCGCCTGCCCAAAGGGTCATTGTGAGCTTACTTGACACCTGTCGTCGTCCTCGTCCCTCGTCCTATCTTTTACAAAAATCTTCTCTGAAACTACGGCCAAATTTATCAAATTTAACCACAATCATCATTAGAGTTTATAGTTTCAAAAATGTGTCTGATGACCAAGCCTGCCAACATGGCTAGAAATAGAACATATGGGCAAAATGCATGTTTTGTCTCTTGTCTTGAAGACCGATATAGAGAAAATCTGACCTTGGCAAAAATGTGAAGAATGATAAGATCTACCTACTGTTGATTATTATCAAAACTGTCCAACTACTTCTAATAAGAGTTATTGCCCTAAAATGACAAATTTGGCCTTTTTTTCATTTTAGCATATCATCTTGAAAAGCTAACACAAGATCTACAAATAAGTTTACATGGCTAAAATTATCAGTAAACTCCTTTATAGAAGTTATTGTCCTTTCAGGATAGAAACTTTAATAAAAAGAATATGATCATCAATACAAGATCTGCAAAAGGATCAACATAGATGAAATTGTCAGTTGTCTTCTTATAGAAGTTATTACACTATTTGATGTTTTGCGCAAAAACTACAGAAGACGGAGAAAGATCTGTATACTGAGAAAAGGATCAGCAATACAAGATCAACAAAAAGATTTTAGTCATAAATTATATTCTAGTCCATAGGTGGTGGTGAACAGAGACATGGGTGAACAACGCAGGCTTTTAGAGCCTCTAGTTCCAATTATTTTGGGCAGTATCTTGCTATTATTTGAAAACTCTAGGAGGTAGATTAAAAGTGTTTATTGCATAAATCCTCTACCTAAGGGAGCTACCATTTGATTTTTATGGGGGTGGGGGGGTGGGGGCTAGGATGAAATTTGAAAAAAATAGGCAGGACAGGAATTTTGAGTTAAAAAAAAGGCAGACGAGACACTGCAAAAAAAAAAAGGCAGGATGACAATTTATGTAAAAAAAAGTCAGGATAAACTAAAAAAAAAAAAGGCAGGACTGAATAGAGTGAAAAATTAAAAGGCAGGATAGAGATTACAACTAAAAAAAAATGCAGGACAAAATTTTTCATCCTAGCCCCCCCATAAAAATCAAATGGCAGCTCCCTAACTACAAAAAATCAGAAAAATCTGAACAGCCTGTATGAAGTTACTATGCCAGATATGTATGTTTTTACAAATTTTCCGTTTTTGAGTTATCTTTATGACTATAGGGGCTAGGTTAAAAGTGAAATTTGCAAAAATGATCAACACAGCAAGATGTATCTTCACTGAAAAAAGGAGAAAATCTAATTACACCGGTTGGAGTTATTGTCCCTGAAATATTAATTTTTAATTCACCTGGCCCATTGGGCCATGTAAGGTTTTGCTTTGACTTTGCTTCTGTCTGACTTCCATCGTCTGTCAACTTTTCTTTAAAAACATTCTCTTAAACTGCTTAATGGATTGGGACCAAAGTGTCTGCATCATCTGTTGCATATCACCTATACATTTTTTTATTATTGTCAAGGTTGTCGACCAACCAACATGGTCGCCAAGTCTAAAAATAGAACAAAGGGGTCAAACTACAGTTTTGGCTAAATCTCAGGGTTAAGCAACCAACAATAAATATATTTATCTCATAAAACTAAAGAAAGAGAAAACAATAACAAGGAGAAAAATGGTCTGCATAATAAGTTCTATCTTTCCCTCAAATTGGC